TTTTCTTAATGCTCCATATCCTGGAGCCAGGTGTTTGAGACAGCTTCAGCTTTCATAGGCACATGCAAAATGTTAGCCCCTCTGACTGTGAAGAGAAGCTTGAAAATGTGACCCCTAGAGGCTCTGAACTAGAAAGTACATAAAAAGAATCCAGAGTATTTTAAAGACTTTTGAGTTTTTGGGAAGGAGCCTGCCATGATGTTTGAATGCTTGGGATTGGTAATGCTGTCTTAAGCATGCCCCTTAAAACACATGATGACACCCTTCAGCAGGAATACTGCCCCCTTCTTATCTCTGACTCTCAACATCTTTGGCAACTGTCCCCACTGCCCACCCTGAGAAATCCAATTAGCCATTTAGGGATGGGTAAAAACACAACGACGTTTAAGTGACTTGTGCCCCTGCGAAAAACAAAAAAACCCCAAACCACAAACCCCAACCAACACCACACCACCCATAGAGGAAATCAGTGGTAGAACCAGAAATAGAACCCAGGAGGCCTGATGCTTTAGGCCCCAGCTCTAATCACTAGCCAGCATTGTTTTATCAAATTATTGATGGTTTTAATCTCGCAAAGAGGCTGTTAGCACTGACATGTCTGATCTGTCGTTTACAGTGATGGAACAATTCCCTTTGGTGTGGCACTGGTGGCTAGCACTTGGTAAGCATTCAGTTCATTTCCAGGTGGGCTCCCTTCATTTCCTCTTCCCAGTTGGGAAGGGGCACGGGTAAAGGTGCCATCCCTACCACTATAACAAAGCTGAGATGGTTTGACTAGTCTAGAAGCAACCACTTTGATCCAACCACAAGTGATTTTTAAAACTACTGAAGCACACCTCCTGGCCTCTAACCCTCAGAGTTTGGTTTTTAAGCTAGTGTTGGAGGAGGATGCAGTATCAGATACTGGCACTGCATTTCAAATACCCTTTTGCCTATTTCTTCCAGGCAGTGGCCTCTTTATCATGATTTTCAGTGGACAACTTGTGACCCACTTTGCTTGCCCTGACTCCAGTGATCCCACTTTGGACAGCTACTGCCATTCTTGAGAGATTCAGGATCAAGGTACTTTACTTCCTCGACCTCCAAACCTGAGCAGTATTTATAGGAGCTGCAGTGAGTTCAAGTAGCCGGGCTAGAAAGAAGAAACGTACAATGCTTTCAGAGGAGTAACTATGCGACTGTGCACCACAAGCACTGAAGAGACCGAAATCCCATTTAGCCACCTCAAATTGATACAGCACGGTTTGGCATGAATAAAAGCCATTAAGCTCCTTTCATTTGAGAGAGGAAGGTCAAAGAGAGGTTCGTACTAGAGAAACACGGACTATTCCTCTGTGGGTAAGCTGAAAGGTGTTGACAGTCTGTTTGGTCAAGTTTCCCCCATGGACTGCTGTGCAGTTCTAGGCATTTGGAGTTTTGTAATTCCCTATTCCGCTGTTTAAAGTGCATGTTCAAATCCAATCCTCTGTCTCGTATTTAATAAGCACACTGATCATTAGATTCAAGAGTGTCACTAGAGCATATAAACTGGCACTTGTGTTTTAGTGATGGTCTAGGGGGCTAAGCCTGCTGTGTCTGTCCCCCCTAAAGATCATTCCAAATGAGCACCTGGTGCTCTAACTACGCGCGTCTATTACTCCTACCATGGGAGAAGAGGGTGCTTCCCACCATGAAGTGCACAGATAAGATGTAAATACAGCTCTTGTCCTTCCCGGCAATAGAGACTAGCCTTGCGGGGTTTTTTAGTTTTAAAAAGGAGCTACTGTTATGAGGTAGATTTGATATTTGCAATGCATAGGGCGATAGTGATGCTCATGGATTTTAATGCCAGAAGGGACTATGGTGGTCATCTAGTCTGATCTTTACAACACAGGCAACAATTTCCCTGAGTTGATTCCTGTTTGAATGAGAGCAGATCTTTTAGCCCTGGTCTACACTACAGGGTTAGGTCAAATTTAGCCGCGGTAGGTCGATTTAAAAATGATTGCATCTACACAACCAACCCTGTTCCTTCGACCTTAAAGATCAACTTCTGTACTCCTCCCCGACGAGGGGAGTAGCACTAAAATCGACCTTGCTGGGTCGAATTTGGGGTAGTGCAGACGCAAATTGACGGTATTGGCCTCTGGGACCTATCCCAGAGTGCTCCATTGTGACTGCTCTGGACATCACTTTGAACTCTGATGCACTAGCCAGGTACACAGAAGAAGCCCCGTGAACTTTTGAAATTCATTTCCTGTTTGGTCAGCGTGGCAAACTCAGCAGCACAGGTGACCATGCAGTCCCCCCAGAATCGTAGAAACATTCTACGCTCCCCCTATCATCTCCGTCCTTGAGGTTATCGCAGATTAGAAGGTGAAAGAAAGCACTTGTGATGACATGATTTCTGAGCTCATGCAGTCCTCTCGCACTGATAGGGCATAGCTTAATGCATGGAGGCATTCAGTGGCAGAGGCCAGGAAAGAATTAAGTGAGCGCGAAGAGCGGAGGCAGGACGCGATGCTGAGGCTAATGGGGGAGCAAACAGACACGATGAAGCGTCTGTTGGGGGAGCAAATGATTGTCTGCTGTTGCTTTCACAGAGGGAGGGTCGACTGATGACTTGTACCCAAAACCATCCACGACAATGTTTTTGCCTCATCAGGCAACCCAGAATTCCAATGGGCAGCGGAGACTGTGGTAACTGTGGGATTAGCTACCCACAGTGCACCACTCTGTAAGTTGATGCTAGCCACGGTAGTGAGGACGCACTCCGCCGATTTAATGCGCTTAGTGGGGACATACGCAATCGACTGTATAAAATCGATTTCTAAAAATCAACTTCTATAAAATGGACCTAATTTCGTAGTGTAGACATAACCTTAGAAAAACATCCAATCTTGATTTCAAAATGGTCAGAAATGGAGAATCCACCAATGGTTAATTACCCTCACTTCAAAGTTTGTACCTTATTGCTGGTCTGAATTTGTTTAGCTTCAGCTTCCAGATCTCGTTACTCCGTCACTAGCTAGACTGAAGAGCCCTCTGTCATCAAATATTTGTTCCCCAAGCAGGTACTACCAAACTGATCCAAGTCACCCTTAATCTGCTCTGTGTTGAGCGAAGCACATTGGGTAACACAAGGAGCTCAATCCTTTAACCACTTCATGAATTGCGGACACCAGAACTGGACACGGGATTCCAGCAGCGATTGCCCCAGTGCCAAATACAGAAGTAATATAACCCCTCTACTCGAGATCCCCCTCTTGACATTATGTTTATAACATAACTGCCATACTGGATCAGAACACTAGTCGGTCTAGTTTCTAAGAGAGACTGGTATGAGATGGGAGTGCAGGCTGTAGTTTTGCTAATCCCAGCAGTGGATGACGTGGTGTCAAAGTATCAGATCCTGAGCAATGAGAACTTCCCTTCTGCAGCTTGCCAGGATAGCAGCACACAGATGGGAGTCACTGGCATC